ATATATATATATATATGTTGTAATTGGGCCCCTATATATGTTTTAAATTTGTTATTATCAATAAATACATGTACCTCCTTTTATAGAAAGGTTTTAATATTGGCCCTCCTTTTCACTAACCTTTGTTTGGTTTTGGAGTTTCTTATTAGGTTCAGTTTTGTCCCTTTCTTGTTTCTCCAGCAGAACAAAACAGCAGCTGCCCCAAAACATCAACAGTTGCTCTTTTACCCACCAAGAGCTTCAGACAAAAGAAGACACACACTAACTCGGGCACGTATGGGTAAAGAGAACAGGTCTATCCCTGTTGCCGGGGAAAAATCAAGCTGCAGTTGGTTCGAAATGTGGCATTGAGGGGTCCTGTGATCTTACGATGCGAGAGTTGTGTCACCTGTTACCCCCTCTGCACTGGCTTCCAACTTGGTGCCGGACCCAACATACAAAGCTGTCTTATACCAAATCAGGCTACTTTCCCACCAAGATCGGTAATCATCTACTCAGACTGGCTCTTCAGTTTCTCAGGCAGAGGTCTTTCACATCATCTGCTACACGATCCATTCCGCTGGAGACACTGGGGACAGAACCTGGGACCTTCTGCATGCCCACCAAACGCTCTACTACTGAAACACAGCCCCTCCCGACAAGGTGCCAGTTTTGACCTTTAAAACCTGACACAGCTTAGGCCTGAGAACCTAAGGAACAATCTTCACCTGTATTGCCTGATCCAGGAGTTGATATTTGCACAGGGGCGCTACTTTAGGGAACTGGGCTTGTCTGAGGTTTGGCTGACTGGGACCCAATACCTTTTTCAAACCTGGGAAAAATGGGTTTGATTCCCCACTCCTCCACATGCAGCTGCTGGTGTGACCTTGGGTCAGCCACAAGTTCTTTCAGAGCTGTTCTGTCAAGATCAGTTCTCGGGAGAGCTCTCTCAGCCCCACCTGCCTCACAGGGTGTCTGTTGTGGGGAGGGGAAGGGAAGGAGATTGTAAGCCGCTCTGAGACTCCGAGTGAAGGGCTGGGTATAAATCCAATCTCTTCTCTCTCTCTCTCTTCTTGTTTGCTATGGTCCCTATTCTGCGGATGTATTTAACAATTTGATTGCTCTGGAGGCCTGATTTAGATTAAGCATTTTTTGCTGTTATTTATTTTTTTATGACACAGTGTTGGGAACGAGGTTTTGTTCCTTGATGCTTTAGAACTACTCTCACTGTTTTTCCTGACCTTATGCTACCTGCGGAGATCTTGCCTTATATTGTAAACTGCCATAGGGACCTATTTTGTTGGTTGAAAGGTGATTAAAATGTGTTATAAACAATCCAATTCTTGTGATTCCAGGAGAAAATATTCATGTTTCATGGACATCACTACAGTTTCACCTAGCCACCGCCCCTCCCCAGCACTGTGTCACATCAGTGATTCCTGTCATGTTTTAGGAGGCTATGTTAACTAGATATTCAATTCCGAACTTTGCCCCAGCACGCGGAACAAAAAAATCTACACCGTGAGGCCATGTACAGATAGGGGGCACCTGTCTATAAATCAGAAAAATCTGAAAACTGTTTTAAAAAGAGAAGGTAATCCCCCCTCACTAATTAGCAAGTGACCTCTGTGCATGTGCAGTTGCCTCAAGACGCCATGGAAAAGAAGCTGATATAAACCTACCAGGAGGCAAGTAGAAGAGGCCAACTCAGCAGGATAAGGAGCGGTAAGGAAACAGGGCAATTCTGCAAACTGGGAATTGGATTCCAATGAAGAACTGGGCATGGGGGGGGGGGACTAAACAAAAGGGACCGGTGGGCTTTCTCTTCTCCCGTCAGTTCTCACTGGTCCCTCTCTTACCTAAAAAACACGAAGAGTGAGTGATGGGCCCCTCATTTGAGTACAAGCCATAGGTGCCCAAGTAAGGGGAAACGACCTTCTGTATCAGAGATTCCAGTTTCAAGTAGTCTTCAGTCACTCCTTTTGATTCATGGACACCCTGAGGGAATACAGAGGGAAGGAAGTTAAATTAACATCTTAGCCCAGTGACACTCCCTCCATGGCTCACAGAGAGCGACGTCTGCAATCGCCATCAGCCAAAAGGGCTACACTACTATATGCCCTCTGGGCCACCCCACCATACATAATAATATAAGATACAAATTTTAATATTAAATAACACAGCTATTAACCTTTTAAATTACTACTGCACATGTCGGGTTGCCTCTCCTGACCACCACTGAACCCCGCTTCTCTGGATTGAACGAAAGGGTTTCCTTTCCTGCCTTCTCGCTCTCCTCAGCATGAGGCACGGTAGCTCAGGCAAGAGGGGAATATCTGCCAAGGCACCTAGACCAAAACAACCTCGCCATGGGAAAAAGGGA